AGCGGGGGCTGCTTCGTGGTTGCAGGAAAGAAAATTGCATCATTTATGGCCGACTTAACGATGGTGAACTATACAGATCTGGTTTCTGCTAGCCTCACTATGCCTGGAAAAAGCCTAGGACCAATGAACGATGAAAGTAGACATGTTGGAACAGGTGCAGTGAAAGAGCTTGTGTCAATAGGAAAATGCAGAGTTCTTTAATAACCTTATTATGTGAGTGTATAGTTACAATATGTTCTGGGTTTTTGTGACAAAAGGTCAGTTCACTGAGAGTCCCACTGGAAAGAAGGCTAGAGTATATGGAGGAATTATAAGTAGATAGGGTAAAACAAAGGAGAGAAGAGGGAGTTGGGTAACTACCAAAAGGGGCAACTGTACCACCTAGGTTATGTTGGAAGGAGCAATGATGTCATAATTGGTTTCTGAAGTGGTCATTGCTCACATAGTGGATCCTATTGCTCCAGGTGGCAATATATTGAGCAAACCTATCTCAAAGGCAAACTGTTAGTTCTCTTGTGTGTTGCAAATAGATACAGTGAAGGAAATAAGTATTTGATTCCCTGCTGATTTTGAATGTTTGCCTACTCATAAAGAAATGATCAGTCTAAAAATCGAATGGTAGGTGTATTGTAACACTGAGAGACAGAATAGCAACAAAAATTTCAAAAGAAATGCATGTCTAGTAAATTTTGCACTGATTTGCATGTTCATGAGGGAAATAAGTATTTGATCCCCTTCATAAAACATGATTTAGTATTTGGTGGCAAATCCCTTGTTGGCAATCACAGAGGTCAGACGTTTCCTGTAGTTGGCCACCAGGTTTGCACACATCTCAGGAGGGATTTTGGCCCACTCCTCTTGGCAGATCCTCTCCAAGTCATTAAGGTTTGGTGACTCACGTTTGGCAACTCGAACTTTCAGCTCCCTCCACAGTCTGGAGTTTGGCTAGGCCTCTCCAGGAGTTTAATGTGCTTCTTTTTGAGTCTCTCCTTTGTTGCCTTGGCCGTGTGTTTTGGGTCATTGTCATGCTGGAACACCCTTCCACGACCCATTTTCAATGCCCTGGCTGAGGGAAGAAGGTTCTCACCCAAGATTTGGTGGTACATTGCCCTGTCCATCGTCCCTTTCATGCGGAATAGTTGTCCTGTCCCCTTAGCAGAAAAACACCCCCCAAAGCAGAATGATTCCACCACCATGTTTGACAGTTGGGATGGTGTTCTTGGGGTCATAGGCAGCATTCCTCCTCCTCCAAACATGGCGAGTTGAGTTGATGCCAAAGAGCTCGATTTTGGTCTCATCTGACCACAACACTTTCAACCAGTCCTCCTCTGCATCATTCAGATGTTCATTGGCAAACTTCAGACTGGCCTGGACATGTGCTTGAGCAGAGGGACCTTGCGGGCACTGCAGGATTTCAGTCCTTGTCGGCGTAGTATGTTACTAATTGTTTTCTTGATGACTGTGGTCCCAGCTGCCTGGAGATCATTGACAAGATCCTCACTATAGTTCTGGGATGATTCCTCACTGTTCTCATGATCATTGACACTCCAGGAGGTGAGATCTTGCATGGTGCACCAGACCTAGGGAGCCTGACAGTTGTTTTGTGTTTCTTCCATTTGCGAATAATTGCACCAACTGTTGTCACCTTCTCACCAAGCTGCTTGGCAATAGTTTGGCAGCCCAGTCCAGCCTTGTGTAGGTCTATAATCTTGTCCCTGACATCCTTGGACAGCTCTTTGGTCTTTGCCATGGTGGAGAGTTTGGAATCCGATTGTTTGATTGCTCCTGTGGACAGGTGTCTTTTGTACAGGTAACAAAATGAGATTAGAGAACTCCCTTTAAGAGACTGCTTCTAATCTCAGCTTGTTACCTGTATGAAAGACACCTGGTAGCCAGAAATCCTGCTGAATGATAGGGGATCAAATACTTATTTCCATCATGAACATGCAAATCAGTGCATAATTTGTTAGACATGCATTTCTTTTGAACTTTTTGTTGCTATTCTGTCTCTTGGTGTTACAATACACCTACCATTCCATTTGTAGACTGATCATTTCTTTGTGAGTGGGCAAATATTCAAAATCAGCAGGGGATCAAATACTTATTTCCTTCACTGTACTTTCAGAAACCCATTTCTTGATGGAAGGAGGGTCACTGGATCTCCCAATGCCTTGGTATTACTGTTCTGGATGCAACAAGAAAAATGTGGAGCAGGTCTTTCCTGGCCTTTGACACTGATCTGAGAACCATAGAAAGAAGGACCATTTCAGCTGTTTGTCTAATGGATAGGTCATCACCTGTTCATATATCTGAAAGTCCTGCATCCAAGAGGGTGAATTCAGGGAGCAGTTCCACTAAATGTGCACCATCTGCCTGTCAGACAACACCAGTAACAATCTGAGATAATTTCTTATCTCTGAAAGGGGGTGTAGTGATGAAAAATGTTTTCTCATTTCCCTTTAACCCCTTCATGCCAGCCGAACGCAAATGTGCGGCCTCCCGGCGTCTGGGCCTAGACGCCGAGCGGCCGCACATCTGCGTTCATGTAACAAAAAACATATGTGCTGAGAGCGCGCACCCTGCGCACTCCCAGCACACGTGAGGTACTCACGGAAAGATCCCGGTCCGCTCTTTCGATTGGGACCTTTCCCGATCATGTGACCACCCGTGACGTCACGGCGGCCACATGACACTACGCCCCCCCCCACCCACCTCCCAGCGCAGGAACTCCTCTTCACGCCGGGACGATCCAGCGTGAAGGGGTTAAACAAGGTTAGAGTAGTCTAATGTTAAAGCAATGTAGGCTGCTGACCATTGCTTTTAAAAACTAAACAGTTGCTTGTCCCCTCTCACACAGGTGATCCAATCAGGTGTGCGTGTCAGTTTTTAAGGCGGACCTGATTGGATGGTCCATGTATCCCTATGGACCGGTGGGTGTGAACAGTTGTGTCCGTTCAATCTGGTCCTCTTAAAAAAAAAAAAAAAAAAGTGATCTGTCCCTATCTATCTAGGCAGATCGCACTGGAAGGCAATTCGGTTGGCAGTCCATAGAGTAGAACGGGCTTGGTCCATTTCCCGCTCTGCATAAACTGAGCTGACACGGACCTGTCATCTGCCCGTTCCACTCTGCTGAGCAGATCCCCTGCTGAGCAAAGCGACTTTCGCCCCATGTGCAAGGGGCCAATTGCTGATTCAAATGATTTACCTCCTTCTGAGTCACCAACCTACAGTTACTTTCCATATCAGGGGGTCTGACTTCTCTTTCTGTTGCTGCATGCTTGTTCAGTGTCTGTAATTTAAAATACTGAAGACAGAGACAGCCAGGCAGCTAGCATGTTTAGATGGTGGTCAGCAGTGGCAGGTTTCCTGTAAATGTTTGAACACCTGTATTACCTTGGCATCACAAGATACTGGTACCTCAATTATTGGAGTGGGTTGCTGACTTCCTTCGTTCCGGCCAGCTGGTCTTCAGAAGGATAGTCACATACCCAACCCTGGATGCCTTCACATGTGGCAGCTTAAGAAATGTGAGCAGAACAACGTATTTCCTTTCACTATGTTATGTCGTATTTTGCACCCTGGCTTCTTGCTGTTTAGGGATTACTTTATTATTTGCGGAAGCAGCCTCCCTAGAAATGGTAAGGTGACCCCCCAAGAGATCGTTTGCCTTTGCAGTTGCTACTTTTGTTGGAGAGGCCTATGAAGTTGGGATGTTTATCTAAAGCTACGGCTTAAAGTCCAGCCAGTGAAACAGATTTAGCAGAGTATAAGCCTTAGGTTGGCCATACACTAAACAATTTTCTTGAGAATTTAGATTTACCAAAAAAACATATAATATGAGGTCACACCTAAACAACACTTTTAGTTATATCCAATTGGGCAGGCCCTTGCACTACATAGTTGAAGGTAAATCTAAAGGAAATTGGGCAGAAATTGGACAGAACATTGTATAGTGTATGGCCAGCCTAAGCAACCCTCCAATGCCTGCATAGTAGCAGCTCTCGATTCTGCCACACTAAGAAGCTTATGTCAATGTTCTTGTCAGACACAGCTATTTCCATTTGAACACAGTGCTGCTCAAACACATGCGTTCAAATGGAAAATGCAGAGCTTGATAAGAATAGGCTGTTTGACCTGCTTTACTTGCAGTTCAAATAAACTTCAAAAGGACATGCAGTTTCTGAAGAAATGTACCGTAAAGAAGGTCATATGCAGCCTCTGAACTGTCATGTATCCTTCTCAATTAAAGTTAATGGGAATTTGCATTTAACCTATGTTTAATGTGTTTCAAAGTAAAAGTAATGCCTGTGTACTTGAACCCTAACCATGGTAAAGTAGCTAACCTGTGCTACAGTAATATACTTCGTTTTCTGACCTTGGATTCCAGCTATATTATCCAGGGTTGGCATTTTTGTCAGGAAGCAAAATCCCTGAGGTTGGCCCTGTGGTCTTTTAAATATGTTTTTTTCCTTGGGGTTTAAGTTTATCCCCCACAGGGGCGGACTGACCATTTGGAAACTCGCGCACTGCCCGGGGTCAGTAGGGGGCCCCATGAGATGCCCCTGGTACCTTTTTCATAGGCTTTTTTGACTTTGGGCAAGGACACAGGGGCTCCATGATCCCCTATTGCCCGGGGGCCCCATGAGTTGTCAGTCCGCCCCTGATCCATTTAAAGTACAGTGAGGGGCGGACTGACCATTTGGAAACTCGGTCACTGCCCGAGGGCCCGGGGTCAGTAGGGGGCCCCATGAGATCCCCCTGGTACCTTTTTTATAGGCTTTTTTGAGTGTGGGCAAGGACACAGGGGCCCCATGATCCCCTATTGCCCGGGGGCCCCATGAGTTGTCAGTCTGCCCCTGAGTACAGTACATATATTTTGGAGGTTTAGAAATCAAGGACTGTCTAAGTAACTTACTTTTTTTTATGTTTTATGCCTTGAATCCTTTTGTACTTTCTTTTTCCTCTGTTTTCTCACCTCACTCTTACTTTTATCTTTCTAGGTCCCAACACTTATGATGATGCTGCCGCTTACATTCAAGCACAATTTGAGAGCAAAAACCGCTCACCTAACAAAGAGATCTACTGCCACATGACCTGCGCCACAGATACGAATAACATCCAGGTGGTATTTGACGCCGTCACCGACATCATCATTGCCAACAACCTCAGAGGCTGCGGCTTGTACTGATTCCTCTGTATAGCAATTTATCTGCTGGTGAAAATAAAATGCAAGTTGGTAAACCGAGAAGGCGAAATGAAAAACATATATATATATATAAATATATATATAAAACCAATCTTTTTAGTTTGTCTCAAAGAGCTGTCAACAGAATGGATTTCTCTGCCTCCCCTTTCTCTACCCCCAAAGTAGAAGAAGGTTCTTGATTTTTAAGAATCTCTTCGGTGTCCCATAATTTACCTGTTTATGTCTGAGAGAGTCTGAGCCGTAATTTCAACCTCTCTCCAGAATCGATGAGGGTACTAAAATATCTTAGATAAAGGGGAGATCATAAATCTATTTTAATCCTTTTTTCAAGGATTTTTGTGTTGTTCCAATGACCACACTCTGCTTCCCCATTAAACCTAAAAAAAAAAAAAAAGAAAAAAAAAAAAAAAGAATCAGCTACATCCTTTCTGTTCAGCTCTTGGGTTACAAAACAACAAAAGTAAAAACAAAACATTTTCCAAACCAGGTAGAAGTGTTTGTGAGACTTGCAGGACAGTGCGCTCAACATTTATTTTTTTTTTTGTGGGTGCTGTAACTGTATGAGGGTCTGTGAGGGTTCAAGGGATGGATGCCCCCCTCTAGTTTGTTAAAAGCAAAGAAGTGGGCCCCTTTTTGTCTTGAAAAGGTTTCAGTGCCAACCCAAACTGCGGAGTCAGGGGAACAGTCTCCAAGAATCTCGGGGGACCCACCCCGCTGTCCCTCATTTCTCCGCACTGCTCTACGGACCCTCAAATTGACGTTCTGCTGGTAGCATGACCTTTGGCCTTTGTAATAAAAAGACAAAAACAAAAAAACACAGCCTTCCTTAAAAGTTGATGTGTAATGTTATCACTGAATTAGTGGCTGCATAGGATGCTGTAAATCTGGTTTAGCTAAGTCTGTACATTTAGAAGAAACTAAACTGTTTTCTTTTTTTTTTTCCCACGTGCTTGTAGCTTAACAACACCTCCCTTTATACTATTAATATCATTTTTATTTTCTTGCACCAGTTGTAAAGAAACATCTTTTTAATTGTCTGAGACCCCTTTCACTGCCAGAGAGGTCAGCTTGGCCTCCAGCAAAGAATGGGATCATGGAAAAGTCCATGTTCTTTTGGGGGAATTGGGGTTATTTCTGTTGGACTTGAAGCCCTACGTAGAAAAAAAAAAATAAGAACCCGAAGACACAAAGAACTTTCTGGGGTTATAGAATTGTACAGATCTGATTCTGTTCAAGTTTCCGTACTCTGGACTGTATACCATGCACTCTCTCTGGGTTTGTATAGAAAAAGCACAGCTCTCACTAAACCTCCAGCTGCCAGAATCTTTCTCCTATTAGGGATTTTTGCTCTCAATTCCGTGTATTACGAATAGCCTTCTTTTCTTTACAATCTCCTTTATGTTCCCAAGTGAATGCTTTGTGCTGCTTCTCTCGTCCCTCCCCCTTTCCCCTCTTTCTCGCCCCACCCCCTTTTAGTGAATGGTGTTTTTTCCTCTCATGTGGGATGTTTGTGCTGCGAAAAAAAAACTTTAAAAAAAGCGGAAAAAAATACAAAAAAAAATAAATTTAATCGAATGTAGTGTTTACATTAAATCCACAGTTTTCATGACCAAACCTTTGTCATTTCTACTTTGATTAGAAGTCAGACTTCTTCACCATTTCACTTGCAAACTGAAGAAGAGCGGTCACAAATGTTAAAGAAAAAAAAAATAATGAAAAAAAAATTTCAAAAAACTTAAATGATTCAATAAATGAGCGAGAAATGAAGCTGGAGTGTGTTCTTTGTATTGCAGAGCGCTCAGTTTGGTGCTGCCAGCCACTCTCGTAACTAATGGAAACTCGTATGTAGCTTAATAAAGAGAATGTTTGTCTGTACACACTTGTCTCCAAAATTCTGCTCTTTTATCATCATATGCTGTTTGATAACTACATCATGCCATTCATTCACAGAGCATCTCCAAGGTAATTTCATGTTGGGAAGTTGGTGTAGTGTGTCAATTAATTTGACCATAGATATATAAGGGAGTCAATCATGTAGGTATGAAGCTCACAGCTGGCCTCAACCTAAATATGTGGATCCAGATCACCAAACCATTCAACTCAATGCAGAGTGGGTACCTCTCAGTGTTTGACCTTGGCTATCGTGGTTTGATAATGTTTTTGAACATGTCCAGTTGATCTTTCCCCCAGTCAGCCAGGTGGCATTTTTGGTGATCATGAGTTTGGCAAGAAAAGCATTGGGAACTGGCCAGATCAAGTGATTCCTCATGTCTTTCGGCTACTCTTGCCTCATGTTTTCTTCCATGTACCTGAACCTCCAGTGTGCCACCTTTTGTAAAAGCTCCAGTAGGGTTTGGTCAGGAGTGAGGCTGGATCTGAGGGACTTCTTTGATCCTGCTGATGTTGAGAACTGTAGGTTTAGCAGTGACAGTATAGTCATTTAGGCTGCTCCTAAACGAGGCTTATCCTCTACTATTTGAGGGCTCTTGGGTAAAGACTTGAAGAAAAAAAAAAAACTGATAAAAAAAGAGGAATTGATGTGGTGGTTAGGTGCAAATTAAATGATCATCTTCTAAAAATTCTCTATTGCTTTCATTTTTTTTATTGCATGTATTTATATAGGGCCAACAATTTACATTGCGCTTTACGTACAGGGGTTAGACAAAAGGGATGGAAACACTACATGATTTGCAGGTGTGAGTGACAACATGGTTTGCATTGAAAGTGGAAGTGATGAGACACCTAGCTAACAGGTGGGAAGCCTCATATTCATCATTCACTGCATGCGCAGTAATAGTAATACAGAGCCATGTCAGAGCTTACTGAGCTTCAAAGAGGTCAAATTGCTGGTGCCGCTTAGCTGGTGTCTCTGTGACTGAAGTTGCCAATTTATTTGCTGTGTCGCGAGGTACAGTATCAAAAGTTATGATGGCATATACAGTTTTCGGGAAAATCTTGTCTGATGGGCAACTGACTGAAAGAGACAAAAATACATTGCGCAAGATTGTGACCCTTAATAAGAAAACAATTGCTGCAAAAGTGACTGCAGAGCTCAATCTCAGTCCTGTGAAGACTGAGATTAAGCTCTGCAGTCACTTTTGCTTCTCAAACAAGGTTTTCCCAGAAACTGTGTATGCCACCATAACCTAGATACTCTACCTTGCAACACAGCAAATAAATTGGCAACTTCAGTCACAGAGGCACCAGCTAAGCAGGCACCAACAATTTGCTCTCGTTGAAGCTCAGTAAGTTCTGACATGACTCTGTACTTGCAGCACATGAATGATGAAAGCGAAGCTTCCCACCTGTTAGCTAGGTGTCTCATCACACAGCAGAAGCAAAAGAGTGTTGTGTATCTTCCACTTTAAACTTGAAACATGTCGTCACTTTCACATCTGCAAATCATGTAGCGTTTTTTCCATCCCCTGTATATTGTACATTCAATTCATTTCCTGCCCTCAAGGAGCTTACCATTTAAGGTCTCTGACTCACATTCATAAATATACATATAGGGCCAATTTAGACAGGAGCCAATTAACCTACCAGCATGCCTTTAAAATGTAGGAAGAAACCAGAGTACCCATAGGAAACCTAAGCAGACACAGGAAGAACATGAAGACTCCAAGTAGGTAGTGTCTGATAGTTGGGATTCAAACCGATGTCCCTAGTGCTGCCAGGCAACGGTGGTAACCACTTAGCCACTGTGCTGCCATTTATTATCCTATCTTACCTGCAATGAAGTGCCATGTTGTGTTGCCTACACAACATGGCACTTCATTGCAGGTAAGATAGGATAATAAATGGATCCTATGAAAATTTTTGTGCACGGATGGCAAGTCTCCTTGCTGCTGTTGAACTTTTGGTGCTGAGGGAGTTAGCTTTGAGTCTTCTGTGACGCTTCATTGGACAAGCTCCCAACTGAGATCCACCTCCTGTGTTGGGAAAAGTCATTTCATAGTGGACCCTGCATGTAACATGATCTCTGAATTGGGATTAGGCTGGTGTATCACATGATTCTCTCCCCCATTCAGAGATTGTGTTACATGCAGTGAAAACAGTGAAGACACTCGCAGGGGTGGACTGACAACTCATGGGGCCCCCGGGCAATAGGGGATCATGGGGCCCCTGTGTCCTCACCCGCACCCAAAAAAGCCTATGAAAAAGGTACCAGGGGCATCTCATGGGGCCCCCTACTGACCCAGGGCCCTTGGGCAGTGCCCGAGTTCCCAAATGGTCAGTCCGCCCCTGGGCACTCCTCCCTTTGGGGATGGATTCCTGTCGGGAGATTGTTCACTGACTCTTCAGTGACAGATCAGAGCTATTAAATCCCTCAGCACTGGAAGTGCAGTAGCCGGAAGAGGACTGGACATCACTGCACAGCTCTATGCAAGTTTTTTTTTTTTTTTTTATTTTTTTTTTATTGAACGTTCGCTTTAAATACATATTTTTTGCCAATCATGAAGAAAGGGAATTCTTTTACCCCTATAATGTATTTGATATCAAACAAAATAATTTTTGCCTATTTCATCCAGGTTTAACCTAAAAGCCCCAGTCGCATATTAAGTTAGAGCCGTCACTACATTAACTTATTGGCTTTCTCATTTGCAGCACCCAGTCTCAAAATACCGAGTTGCCAGACGTTTACCCATGGTCATCAAGGCAAGCCAGACCAGGTTAAGGAAATCCATAGAGAAACCCCAAAGTTCAGGCTATTGCTATAAATAATTCTATCCCTATGACACCCAGCATCCTTTCACTTTCAAGATCGGTTGTCATGGTAAATTTGGTGGTTTTACAGTTGGCAATCAACTGATAAAATTTAGATGGTGGACAATAGGAGTGGGGGGGGGGGGGGGCATGTACATGAAAAACACAGAATTACATGAAATAATGGGCCCAGGATGTGTTGAGAATGGCTCCAGACTCCTTTTTTTTTTTTTTTTTTTTTTTTTTTATAAACGTGTATCAGGATTGGCAGGTAA